AGTAATACAACTGGATTCAGACCACCTCTCGAGTCCGTGGGAGCAGAATAAAAACTCGTTCGCTCAGTCTGCCAGAACCGTTTCACGTGCATGTTCGAAACCGAAGCCCACCGTGCTCCGAGAAACCTCGACAGTCTCATTTTTGGTTCAGGTGCCCTATCAAACCGTTACCGGGCTGTCGTTATTACCGCAAGCAAGCACATTCATGGAAGCACCAGTGAGGGTAGGGGACTATTGCTCCAGGGCATCGTCCGCAGCTGCAAGACATGTTGATTTGTTGAAGTGAGTTTTTGAGAAAGTTAAACCTATGCTGCTCCCACATTTGTTATCAGCCTACGTTCAACCCCACAAAGAGTGCGACATTCAAGCAAGGAACCCGTGGCTGCAACGCGATCGTAAGAGCTTAGAACGTCCACAAGCAATGGCCCATAATATGGTAAAAGGACTGCATTCCATGACTTAGATGGAAAAACTGGAACCATTGGGTTTGTACTCCACACAATATCACCAAATTCGAGGACACTTGATTTCGTTATCGAATAATGCAGAACGCCGACCACTCATGCTCATCACTGATCACCCTATCACCCAATACTCATCACAGGGTGTATTTATGTGATGATCCAGGCCAAGAATTGACGCCTACTCTGAAGCGGTGCGTTACAGTTTCTGGACACCTGCGATCAATCGAATTTGAAAGGTGACGTCAATGACGCACGTACGCGTCACGGCTTCTGACTACACGCCATTGATGGATCGTGCCAGCCAATCAGAGACAGTGCAGACAGAAGCAGAATTATGCAAGCAATACTGCGATATGATTGGTAGAAGCCTAGATAATCAATGATCTTCTTTTATACATATTACTTAATCGCCCTTATTTCCTCCAGTAAACGAAATACGAACTATCATTCTTGCAGCTTTTTCCCCGCGTTTCTGTCACGTGGGATATTACGAGCTCGTGCCAGTGCTTCCGTAATCCAGTCCGTGATAGCTGATCCTTGATTCGTGTTCTGTTATTCCTATTGCGTGGTTTGTGTTCCGAGCGTATTACTAGTTCTACCACTACTACTACGATCATTACAATTTATTCAAAATGGTTATTGAGGAGATTAGCTTGTCTTAGCCACGAAGAATGAAAGCAAAACATAAAGGCGTTGGTGACAACGTTTCGAACCTCTTGGAAGGCCTTCTTCACGTCGTTTAATCGGTTAATCTCACGTTACAAGCAACAATCGGTGACGATACACAGGAAAGGTACATGTACAGGACGGTACCTCAACTTCAATTCTGACCACTTAACCGACACCAAGATATCAGTAGGACAGCCTAATTACTCGAGCTCGGAAACTAGTAACCAACAAAAAGGATAAACGTCAACAGATGAACCGGATTACTAAAGAACTAGAAGATAATGAATGTGCGAAGGAATTCATCGAAAAGATCAAACGCAGTCAACTAAGCCAAAAAATGACTGGTTGACAACTGTTGTGGTTCCATATCGTAGTAACACGGCCGAAGACATACGACGGATACTCAACCGTGTAAACGTGAGGCTTGTGTTTAAAAACACTAACACAATTTACTCCAAACTAGTTACCCTCAAAGACACGCGTGCAAAAAGAGGCACTTCTGACGTACTGCATAGAATCCATTGTCTAGATTTTCCTGTTACGTATGTAGGCCAAACGTCCAGAAGCCTAGACAAACGAATGAATGAACACATGCGTCTAACGAAAAAGATTCCAAATGATGCAG